GTCCCCTATTTTCGGAAACCCCCATTTAGGGTCGGGGGTTTAGGGTTTGTGGCAGGGAGCTTGCCAAGCTGGAGAACGAATTAGACAGTTTGGGAATTGAGGTCGCGAAAGCTTCGTTTTCTTTTTGCGCTCCTTCTTGCTTCCTGTGACTAGAGATGAAGCTCTGAAGGTTTATAGTTTCAGGGTTTTCGGGCTGTTAGGGCTACAGAGCTTTAAGGTCTGTTGGTGGCTGTGCTGCGGCAGACTTCCCACGAAAGGACTCGCGGCCTGCCACAGCGCTTCGATAGGGACCCTAACAACTTGAACGGGGCTTTGTAAACGCTTGAAGCAGGGGGCGTTAACAATGATAGTAATCTTCCGGGGTAGGCTAGAGCACCAAAATCACGAGCTCAGATTCTGTCCATGGCCAAAATCCTGCAAAACCTTGAATCTTCGAAGGCACTGGATTTGTGATCTAAGCCGCATAAATGCCATACATAACCCCCCCGACAAAAACCACAGAGTACCGTGAAGAGACAGACTGTTACAACATATGATGATATGATATTATTCAATATAATATCATAATATAATATGCTTCCATATGATCATATGGGCCTTTCCGAAAACTAGGGTACCTTATTTTGGGGTCCTTATAGTAAGGATCCTACTATTCAGAGTACTTTTCTTAGGGTCCCCTATGTTCGGAAACCCCCAATGTGCAGCAGGAGCAAGGAAGCCTCTTGCATGGAGTCCAGCAGCTGCTTTTCCTGATGCGTATGTCAATTCGCTTCGTGAGCTTTTTTGGGTTTCGGGGTTTCGGGTTCGGGTTTAGGTTTAGGCTTGGGGCTTTAGGGCTTAGGGGTTTAGGTTGCGGGTTTAGATGCTTAGGTTTTAGGGGGCGAAAGTAGGTAAGACTCTGAGGGACGTCATGCAGAATTGCCGAGTCGGGGCTGTCGTCCTACTTCTCATTCTACCTTCACTTCCTTGCCTAGCTATCACCCTACTCGGAAAACTACTCACTGAGCCCCGATCCTAAACCCCAACCCTAAGGCCCGAAAAAGCCTGAACCTACCGACGCATTCCAGAACGAGGTCTTTCCTTGCAAGACTCTGAGGGAGCGGTGCTTCTGTTCGAAGGGTTCGTGGTTGCAGGGTCCAGGGCTTGATTGTATTGCAGACCGCCGGTGCATAACTCTCTCTTTCCTAAATAGGGCTTACAATAAGAAATTCCTAGGCCCTTCAACAAGCATGGTCTATGAATCAGGGGTCTAGAAGTTGTTTGTCGATGCATAGGCCCCTCGGTGTGCAAAATGACGAAACAACGAGTGGGAACGATGTCCATCCTGTCTATGCGCAGCTGTGTAGCCAGGAGTTCTTGCAAAAAATGGCCCCCTTCGGGGTTCAGAGCCCATCCTCAACCGTGAAGCTGTCAGCTCTAAAGACTTGAACCTCGAACCTAAACATTTTGTGTTCGTATTGGGATAAAAGTGTGTCCATCTTTCCTTGCCAAGTAGCCTCGGCAGAGAGTTCAGAGATCTTGCGCAAGTCTGTCCTGTAGGCAGTACTAGAATATAACATATCATATCATGCAATTTGGCAATACGGTATAAGTTAACCCTAAACACTAAACCCTAAGCCCCTATGCAACACAGTATAAGTTAGTATAGGAATATACTGCAGGACTTTCGGGTGGAGAGTCCCTGGGACTCCAACATCCCCCTGAACTCAGCAAGAGACATTTGCTTGGGGGTACAGTGTAGGGGCCTCAATAATTAGAATAGGGTTTTGGAGTATACTATACTATAATCATAATCAGGAACACCCCCCAAAAATAGTATTGGTAATTATTTAGGCCCGTATATATAGTCCCTGGTCGCGGGGCCTTTGGGGTGCCCAGATTAACCCAAGCTCACCAAAATTTACACCAGTACAAAGCCCCGTGACACCTTTGCACAAAAACAATGTCAACGCCTTGTACGTCCCTTCAGTTAAAGTTCATTCGGAGTTCCCTTCGCCCGAAACCCTAAACCCAAAGCTTTGCCAAACCGTTGCAATGCGATGGCCTCTCTGACTACTACTACTACTACTGCTGCTGCTGCTGCTGCTGCTGCTGCTGCTACTGCTACTGCTACCACTACTGCTACTAATGATAGCCGCACTACCAATAACAGTAGTAATAACAACAATAACAAAAAATAATAACAATAGTAATAATAATGATGATAATAATAATAATAATAAGAAGAGTAAGAATAATATGGATAATGAATAATCAGAATAACACTAATTCAGACTGGGGCTCTGGAGTGCTATAACAGGGAACTGTAAGGAAGAATTAATCTTACAAACTACTCCGATCCCCAACTCTTTTGCTGTGACAAAAATGGGACCCCGGCCTCTCACCTTATGAAAGGACCTCTAGAGCGCCCCCAAGCACCAAAACGCTTGAACCCTAAACCCCCAACATCGGCGCCTGAATAACAGGCTAGGGTTATAATAAGGGAGCCCAGAGTAGTACGGGTAACTCTTCAGGCCCCTAATGTAGGGGCCTTTATAATTAGAATGGGGTTCTGGGGTATATTATGCTATATAATAATAATAAACCTCCAAAATAGTATTGGTAATGATTTGGGCCCCTATACTACGTTACAGAACCTCCCCCCGAGCTGCGGGCTTGTTGAGGATGATCAGCAGCGGCCGATTCCGGAAGAGCGGCTTGATGGAGTGAAACAGCGCGACCTGATGGGCTTAGTTCCTGGAATGCTTGGGGTTTAGGATTTAGGGCTAAGGGGTTTAGGGCTAAGGCCCTGCCTGCAAAGCCGTAGAGTTTCGGGACTGGGGTCCAACAAAAGAATGCCGAAGACTCCAGACGTTGGAGGTCGCCCGAGCGAATGAAGTCTACTCTAAACCCTAAAAGCCTGGCACCCTGATCAGAAAAAATCCGACATCGAGACAGGATCTCTTTGGACGGGCTCCATTTGGGGACCCTTCCCTGCAAGCAGATTTTAGGGTTTAGGGTGCACTGCGTTTTGGAGCTCTTCCCTTTGGATACTCTTGCTCGTGAAGATGCGTGTCGTTTTCCTTTCGCGTTCTATCTTGTGCAGCCATTGCGTTTTGTTTGGTCCTAAACACCCCACAACACTACATAGAAGCTGCCTATAGAATTCTGAAGCTATATTCTCTAGACCCTAGGCCCGAAATCCTAAACCCTATCTTACAGAGGTTCTGGGAATGGAAGTTCGGCCAGGCCTGTGTCGCTAAGTTGAAGCCACAATGCTCCGAAACATCCACGAAGAAGAGAATGGCCTCGCAGGAAGTTCGGCGTACTACAAAGGCCACTATAGGGGTCTGGGTTGTAGTTTTGGGGTTATTGAAAGTATTTATGAATAGGTCTTCCCTAAGTGCCACCTAGGTGCACTCTACGACTGCTGGAAGATGCTTCAGCGCGCTGCAGGTTCGGTGTTTAAGAGATGGAGGAGGCACAAGTTTGTTTCGCACTAGCACTTTCATGCTGAACGCAGCGTGATCGCATCTGCAATAGTCATGGATAAAATAGAGGGGCCTTAATGAGACTACGGTTTAGGTGTATGTTGTATTTTAGATATGATAAGGAACCCCAAGAACTATATATTGGAAACCTTCTAGGCTTCTGCAGTATTATGCCTTCTGATTGGCGACTCTCGCTGCTGCTACTCCATGCGGAGTTTTTCCGAATACTGCAACTCTTTCTATCGCACTGCTTCTGCAACCGCTGCTGCTGAGATCAGTTTGTAAACCTCATAGCCAGTTGCAGTGAGCATCATCAGCCGCCCAGTCCATGCAATTGCGACTTCGTGTTTTCAAAGCTGATCCAAACCTGACTCGGAGACCCTGTTAAAATGTGCAAACAGATTCACAAAGGGCTAAACAAGCTTTCAATCCCTAGACTCTCATACATCCTGCGTCCAGACTAACCACAGCCACGGTCAGTGTCTGAGTCATCTGCCGCAGGGAGATGTGCCAATGCCGTGATTGCCGTCATCTCGATGCTGTTTCGGTCCTGCGCATCTTGACAACTAAAGAAGGCCACTTTGGGTTTGAGCTTAGGGGGTGAGAGTTAGTGGTTCATCGTTCAGGGCTGGGATGATGGTGCGGATGACAAAGATATGGCTTTTGTGGGCACAGCTTTCTTGCCATCAAATCTGCAATCGATTCATCTACCCGTCGACACTGCAGCAAGACATTGAGTCTAGAGCTGTGGGGTTTAGGAGGCGCGTCTGTCGACAACACTTCAGATCTTCTTGGTCGAGGTGGTGACTCTTTCTGGTGCCATGCTGCTATGATTCTCCACTGGCCCAAAGCAAAGGAAAATACAGTTCATAGAGAATCATACAACGTTGTCCTAGGGCTCAAGTGCCAGTCTCAGATGCTTGTCTAGAAAGTGCAACAACCCCCTAATTCGGCATCCTATACTATTACCGCTTCTCGGAAACGCTTAAAGTGCATTTAGCACCAGCGAATGCCTCAATCTGCAACCGCTGTCGTCTTGCCTCGAGCGGGTGATCGAGAATACCAGGCGTGTCGATGACCTGTTCCGATCAGGAGACTTGGCAGGTAGGTAGGTTTTAAAAAGCGTTATGAGTGGGGTAGCCCTAACGAGGGTACTTATCATTCCACTTCAAAGCTACTTGCTGCTGCTGCTGCTACTACTACTGCTACTGCTACTGCTACTGCTACTGCTACTACTACTACTACTACTACTACTACTAAGTCCTGTCAGGGGCTGCCCACAGGATCCAATATCTTATCATTCAGGATGCCTACTCGACGAAGTCAGAAGCTCTCGGCGACGAATGCTCTGCGAGAGGTCCGCTCACTCTTCCGACCCCTACAGGATGTGAGATGCAGACTTCGAGACCTCACTCACTGACTAAATTGACTAAATGTTTCCATCTTGAGAAGTGAGGGTGCAGGGTGCAGTTTTCAGTTCCAGGAAAGCAGGAAAGCACGTCAGTACACGGGATTGCGAGTACCACGAGCTCATTCGGCAAACGGTCTCAACGCCTGCCACTTGACATAGTTGTGGTCCAGGTGCCCGATGAACAGAGACTTCGTAGTGAAGGCGTACCTGCCATTGCACTGGGCACCGATGATGGGTTCTGCAGGGCACTGCTACTCGAAGGGGCACGGCTGCACGTCCACGTTTGCGTTGGTGACTATGTTCATGAACGAAGACTTGCCGACGTTGGGGTAGCCTGGCACAAGACGGCTCTTTGCAGGGCACCCAGTGCCTTGCTACACTATCTGCGCCTGTCAGGATCAAGGTCCTGGTAGCGGGATTGATCGACGGCAGTCGCCCAAGGTGTTGCCGAACCTCCGGTGAGACAAAGCCCTAAGCGCTGAGCCCGGGCACTATTATCATTACTATACTTTATAACTTTTGCTACTCATATACCTGCTATGACAAGTATTGTACTTAATATTATGCGCTTACCATGGTTTTCAGAAGTGTCATTTTGATCTTATTCTTTTTGTTATTCTTACCAATACTACTGCTATTGTCATCGTCTTTAATATTTCTATTATCATTGTTGCTATTATTACCATTGCTATGATTATTGTCATGAGTCTTCTTATGATTATTAGCGATGCTAGTATTGTTATTTTACCCTAAACCCTAAAACGTAAACCCTAAACCCTAAACCCCTGAAGCCCTAAGACCCTAAACCCTGAAACCCTAAAAACCCCAAACCCAAAAACCCTAATTTATTTTTGCTATTGCTTTCCATGAGAACCTGATTTTGGGGAGCTGCTCTCCGGTACACAGCAAAGGGTCCAGGCCTCTTCGAGGAAGGACAAAGCACCTGCGGTGGATTCGATGAGGCTTGAGGGGTTTAGGGTTTAAGGGTTTAGGATTTAGGGGTTTAGGGTTTAAGGGCTTAGGGTTTAAGGGTTTAGGGATTAGGGGTTTCGGGTTTAGGGTCTAGGGTTTAAGGCCTACTCTTCAGCAAAGGTATCGCAGAAAGGGGGTTACCAAAAAGGGGTGCACTAATTAAGCAGTGCTTAGAATAAGAGTCCGGCGATCAGTCTCTGTCTTTTGTAATGCAAGGTTTTGCGGAGGCGTCTTGCTGGGCTTTTTCACAGGCGTTTAGTGCGTCTTAGGTTTAGGGCTTGGGCTGTAGGATCAAAGGACGTAGTAAGGAACTCGTAAGTAGAGTCGTATGTACCGGCTACCCCCACATATTTTTCTACATACTCGCTCTCTGATGCTTCACGATTTAAGCAGAGAGGTCAGCTGTTGTAGAACTCCCTCGACCCTAGGCCATGATTGCATGAGCCAGGCTATGGGCTCGAGGACAACAAACTTAGGGAATTTGACGATTGGCTCGACCCTGCCGGGACTACAAGGGTTTTTGGTCATGGTAAGTATTCCCCGAGTAGGTGCATGTCACAAACCGTCTTAGTCTCACAACTTTGATCTCTAGTGCTGCGAACAATTGGTGACCAAACGAAAGCCAAACCAAAACCGTTACATAGTGAGGTGAATATAATTGTGGCTACTTATATTCGCAACCGAGGTATGTATGTAATTTTACATACTAAGTCTCCTGAACCTGTAAATGTGGAGCCCTATTGCAGGATGCCAAACCTAAACACTAAACCCTAAAACCCTAAACGCTAAAACCCTAAAGCTTAAAGCCCTACACCCTAAATGTCTTAACCCTAAAGCCCTAAACCCTAAAACCCTAAAGCCCAAAAAATCACAAGGCCGGGCGGCCTGTGAGTTTCTTCACAGCCGTGGCCATCCGACCAAGGGCCTCCACTTGATCTCAACGTTGCGACGCGATTTAGGGTTGTCGGGTTTGGGGTTTTCGGGTTTAGGGCTTTAGGGGTGTAGAGGCATTGATGACTAGAATAGGATGCCTAAGGGTTCACAAGGGGTCTAGGGCAACTAGCGAGCCAGCGACCGAAAGCAGAAACGACCGAATTAACATTACTAGCTACCGCGCTCAGTGAGAACTTTCGGTTTTGGGCTTCCGAGCTTTGGGTAATGGGGTTTGGTAGCGGGTTTAACCATGAAGCGCACCCTCTGCCGCTCTCTCTGTCTCTCGCTCGCTCTCCCTGCCTCTGTCTCTAGCTGCAAACAGCCGACTTGTAGCTGATAGAGGTGTGGCGAAGACAAATGCCCGAAGATGCAGCGTGCACTCAACGAAACTCCATCGGGGTTAGGAGTGCGGCTTGGAGCAGTCTACCACAGGCTGCAGGATTCACAAGCCTAAAGCCCAAACCCTAAACCCATGCGGGGTTGTTCATGAACTCGTATCGCTGAGGTCCTTAAAAGAGGTATCCAGTGCCGGGTCTGCCAGTGGAGTGTTCAGAGCTTTCAATGCTGGTGAAAACGGCAAAGGAGCTGCTTCATTCTTGTGTTGCCATTCCACTGGTATCTGGATGACGATGGTGCTGATGACTATGACGATGCTGATAGAAAAAACGACTGTGCGATACTACATGACTCTGGGGTCCCTGCTGCTCTTTTGAGCATCTTGCACTTGTACAGGCTGTCGGCGAATTTCATCATCTTCACCTGAGATGTTCAGGCACCGGGCTTTGCACATGTTCAAGGCCCCCCGTCCTCTTCAGACCAGCACGGATCTAATCTGAGCTGTAGCTTTGGGGCCCTTACAAGTACTTAAGGGAATGTTACAGTTTCCCACACTGCCACCTAGTAATGCTCAAGCAGCAAGCCCAGCAGGTCTGTGGAGGTTCCAAAAAAGGCTTTTTGGGGATGGGATGCGCTACAACATGTGGTCTCAGAACAACGGTGGAAAAGATTGCCGGCTTCACGATTTAGGGTGAACTGACCCACGAACACCCATGACTGTCAAGCAGCATAGTCCTTGGCTATGCCGTCAACGATCTTCTTGCAAGCATTCACCTTGTGCCGAAGGTGTTTGGTTTACTGTTGCTACAAGTGCGATTTCAGGACAGCTACAATTTATCATGTCAAGACTGTGCATGCCATCATCAGTGGCTCCTTGCCAAGTTCTCCATTGTTATCAAATCTGGCTGCTATCCTTGGCTAATTCGGTTGAGAACAATGCTGTGGTGGCTGATGCTCCGGTACTCAGAATTTCAACAAAACTATCGAAGGCTTGGAACTGTCGGTGACAGAGCGGGCCTGAAAATTATGATGGTGTTTGCCTCGGGGACTGTTGTTACCAATCGTTCAAACCCCTTCATTATGCAGCGTCCGATGACCCAGCACGTCCCGCACCTGGCCAAGCGCAAGCTTGTAGTGATCTCTGTCATAGAGGACGTTACCTTACAACGGTGCTCGATGCACAGATGGACTATTAAGGGAGGGCGGCTGAGGTGCCACAGACTTGCCGGCCAGTGCCGAAGCACTCAGAGTTATGCACTTGCAAATCTGTTGTGCGTCACAATCCGCGCATAAGGACTTTTGTTCCTGGCTTGGGATCCTGCAAAGATCCGCATAGAACGGGTGGATGTCGTCGATCTTCGGAAACTCCTCGATGATCTTGGAGAACTTCTCGTTGTAGGTAGTCTGGCAGAACTTCACCTTCGTGGATGTGTAGAAGTAGGAGGATTCCCCTGAGTTTTAGGGTTTCATTGGTCTCACTGCTGTAGGCGAAGGGGATCAGAAAACTAATGGCCCTTTGGGATGTCAGGCACGAATATACCTTAAATTGTCATAGGAACCCTAATAAGATTTAAGGTATATCCTTAATTAAGGGGACCTCAAACAAGCCCATAATGCAAGATGTCTACGCACGGCCTTGCGCATGTAGAAGGAACGGATTCGCGTGATCTTGAATCCTCAAGACATGCGGAGATCGACCGATCGACCGTCTTAGAGGCATGCTGAGCTGTGGTTTTGAGGCACGCAAGGTATATGGTTCAGATCGAAACTGTATTGTCCACGTGGAATTGAAGATCCGGCGGCCTGCCTAAACAAGAGGCATCAGCGACCAGTCAGGTATCATAAGGACCCCCCCGCTCCTAAAACAAGGACTCCCTGTCTTGTCAGTTCAGTACACTCCACACAAGGGTGACAAAGGTCTGCGCCCAACCTGCTGTACCTCGAACTGAGGCTTCTGAAAGGCTAATGGGGTGCTGGTATAAGTAATGTAGAGGCCTTAATAATTAGAATAGGGTTTCGGGGGCTCCTTATTATAATTATAGTATAATATACCCCCAAACCCTATTCTAGTTCTTAAGGCCCCTTTAGTATATATAGATGCGGCTCGAAAAACCCTAAACCCAAACTTTAATAGTCAGGAAACAAAGCAAAACCAGACCTCAGACCTTGGCAAACCCGCGGCTGTTAGATACTCCAAGCCCTTGTCAAGCCCCAAACCCAATCTGCATAGAGCCCTGGTAAAGCCACTGAAGGAATTCTTCTAGAACCCCAACAGCTGTGGAACACTGGTTACGACTGGTTACAAAAAAGCCCACAGGAATCTTTGGAGAACCTGTGGTTAAAACCCGATTAGAATCCTCCTTAGGGAACACACCCCCCCCCCCCCCCCCCC